GTGTGTGTGTGTGTGTGTGTGTGTGTGTGTGTGTGTGTGTGTGTGTGTGTGTGTGTGCGTGTGTGTTTGTGTTCCACACATGCAAGCTTAATCGCTTGCAGTATGCATGTCCACCTTTTAAGCGGGAGCGCTGGTGTGTGTGCCTGTGTGCGTGTGTGTGTGTGTGTGTGTGTGTGTGTGTGTGTGTGTGTGTGTGTGTGTGTGTGTGTGTTCCACCCATGCAAGCTTAATCGCTTGCAGTATGCATGTCCATCTTCTACGCGGGAGTGTTCATATCCTGGCGGTTGTCGGCGTCTTCACCATCGCTGTTCCGTTACTACTCATTCATTTATTAGTTGCCAAACTCGCGCGCGGGCTTTAGAATAGGAGCACGTCGTCGGCGATCCCAAGTTACGGGGAAATTGTAGAAAACACGCAAAAAACGCAGAGCTTGCTAACCCTGTTAATTTATTGATCACAAATACGTTCAGCCAGTACGTCTCATAAGTGATTTTGATGTAAGTGAGCTTATTATTCGCTCCTCGTTTTTTTTCCCTTTTTTGTTTATTGAGAATCTGTTCATCTGATAGCATCTGGATTCCAACTTGAGTCTTCATTTCAGCAGTTCATGGTTTTACCAACTGAGTTAGGGTCTCGCCGCACGGCACACGAAACGAAAACGAAACGAGTGCATCTGCCCACGAAAGGTGGCACAATACACTCGTTACTATTTATAGCAAACCGATGAACATGGCCATTTTATGCAGGAAGATGCACTCGTTTCGTTTTTCGTTTCGTGTCCCGTGCGGCGACGCCCTTATGCTCGTTGGTGCGTTGGTTCGTGTCGTTTTTTGACTTCTTTCCTTATTGGTTAAAATATGTTATCCGATTAGAAGGAATTGAGGGCCTACTCGCATTAGGACTTTTTCGACTCAGCTCTGGACGTGATTTCGGTCAGATGCATCCAGCTCCGGTCGTAATTGCAGTCAGATTCAGTAAGGAAAGTGGTCCCCGTAGTGTGTTTGAGTATAAGTCCTGAGTAGATCGACACACCATCCAACCTGTCGCTCTGATTCTTTCAACCTGCTTCCCCCAAATAGAGCGTAAGGTCATTATCCCTGTATCTAGACTCGAAGTTGTCCCAAATACAGCAGCTATAATGACCGTACTCTCTATTCGGGGAAAGACGGGTGCTATGAGGTTGGCATCGCTTACATGTCAGCGGCAGACTTAGCGGAGAGTATAATCGCGCCAGGGACTTGCTTTACTGAATCTGTGAGGAATTGCAGTCGGAAACATTCAGGAAAGTACGATGTGCATGTGCCCTATGTGCCCTGGTAGAGCGATGGCTCGGTTGTTATGACATCTGAAACTTTTTTTCTTTTTCTTTTACTCAGAAAATTTGGAACAGCCTTAGAATGCTTTCTTACAAACAGTTCCAATGGGCGCTTTATTAATTATCTTTCTTATCCTTCCAAGTCTCCATATTAGATCTGTCAGCTATTTTGTCTTGAAAAAATTGCAAAATAAAAGCATAAAATATAGCTAATTCTATCACACCATAAATAGGTAAAGCACACAAAAATTGAAACCAAATGTCTGGAGGAGTTTAAAAAGCTGCTATTAAGACTGAGAAAAAGAGGAAAGCCAGGAGACCCTCAAAAGCCCCCTGAGGAAGGCCGGGAGCGCAGCCTGGCCGAAACGCGTCGCGGATGATGCGCCTTTTCTTGCTGAGAACAGTACATGCGGAGAAGTAATGATGACATATCGATGCTTGTACGAGAAGCAGTCTATGGCCACTGTTTTCACTATTCTTCTTCTTCTTTAAAGCCCAACTAATTCAATTACCTGTCGAATCTGGACAGGACGGCCTTTCAGGCCTTTTTTTAATTGTCATTATAGTGTTATTACGGGGAACCCCGTAGCAGCCACATCCGTGCTCAAGCCTTCAACGAGGGAACATGCAGGAGCCGCACCCACCAGCAGTTGGTGCGATACCTCCTGCTACAACAGGTGGGCGATAGCCAGGGGAGGGGTATCAGGTCTGCTACGTTGTTGCTGAGACTCCATTTACGGCATACAGTCAGACTAAGATTTTTTTCTACGCTCTGGACGTGATTCCGGTCAGATTGATCCCGGTTCCGGCCGTAATTACGGTAGATTTTGGAACTAAAAAAAAAGCCATTAAACAAAGGAGATTAAAGAAATCTAAAGCAGCAAAAAGGAAAGGGGGGCCGAAACCATGAAAGCAAATGAACTAAGCAGCCAGTGTTTTTTTTTTTTTTTTGGAAGAGCAAATTTATATTACCGAGTTGAAACGGAGGCCAGGAATCCTCGCAAACAACCCGGAAAAGGACATCTCTGGGGCCAGTGTTTTTTTTGTTTTCTTTCTTTCTGTGAAGAAACTTCGGTCGGGGGCATAAACTGTTTGTAAGAAGACAGGCATCTTCCTGCAGCAGAGCTCATCACACCGTCAACAGAGAGCTTACTAAAGCTGGAGGCTGACGCTACAAAAAAACTGAAGTTCAAACTGAGGTTAATGGCAGCAGCCAGTCTTTCCCCACAGAGCTCATCACACCGCCGACAGGAATCCCTGTTCCTGAGCAACAGCTTTTTTTATTTTTTTTTTCGTTTTTTTTTTTGTAAGAAACAGCTGGTGTCTAGAGGTACGTGGCAGCTTTACTTTGAATTTGTGTACTCTGGGGGAAACTCGTCTTCTAAATTAAAATTCGTGTACTCACTGATGCTTCTCCCCTTGTCTGCACTGCAGCAGTCTTAGGCCCGTATACATTCACAGTTTTAGAACTTTTTCGACTGAATTTATGTGTCCGTAGTTGAGGTCAGATGGTCAAAGTCCTGGTGTGAACCTACTCTCGTATTAGCCATAATGAGTAATGAGCCCGGATACCTCGAGGTGGGGAAAAAGAAGAAATTGTACTGCCTTTTTCAAGAAGGACCATACTCAAAAGAATGGTCTTTCAAGAAAGACCATACTCAAAGAGCATAGGTTTCCTGTCCCGTCGGCTAGCTCAGTAGGTTTCCTGCCTGAGTGGCACCGCGTAGGTGCTGGGTTCTATTCCTGTTGACGTCACTTTCAGTGGCCTGAGGGCGTAGGTGCTGGGTTCTCTTCCTGTTGACGTCACTTTCAGTGGCCTGAGGGCGTAGGTGCTGGGTTCTATTCCTGTTGACGTCACTTTCAGTGGCCTGAGGAGGATTGGTGGCCACGGCTATGGTCTTCACCCGAATAGAATGCCCGGTAATTATGGCCGTATCTGGACTGAAAAATGCATCAAATACAGATATAATGGCCGGGCGTTCTATTCGGGTGAAGACGGTAGTCAACACTGGTAACGCACTGGGGCGAGTTGTGCCGCCCTGTGGAATGCTCCCAAGTGGAAGTGGCTGCTCAGGTCTTGCTTCGGCGGCCAGTCGGGACACACCCAATACACATCCAATAAAAAGAGCTCTCAGGTTGAGTTCTCGGTTAGTAGGCTCAGTATCATCCTAGCTGACATTCTATTCATGGCTTCATTACGATTCCTATGGGGGTTGAGACCCTCAATTTGATGGTACTTCGAGTCTTCGAGAGGGTCTTAAAAGTAATGAAAACTCTTAACATACCTGTCACAAGTTCACAACAGAAGGCTTAGCTCAATAAGGAAGTTCAGTAACACATGATCATGACATATAATCTACAACAATTTCCATAATATAATAATAGTAATAATATCCAATACCGCAGCACTTCGTTGGATCCTCGGGACTTCAATTACGGCCAGAATCACTCTTAAAAAATCGAATTTGAATTTGCCCTTGCTTACCAAGCCCCTCGCACCCTCCAAAAACCGGGCGTACATTGGGCCCCCCCACCTCCTCACCTCCTCACAGCCTGCCAGAGAACCGGCATGTTCCCGTTCTTTTTTCTGTTTTTTTTTGAAACATGTCTCAGGGGTGCTAATGATGCTGATGAGAGCAGACACCATTAGCAGCAGCCTGGTGGAAGGCTCCATCTATTGGTGGGAAGGATCACCTGCTGGAAAACGGGTCCAGCGTCCCATGCACAAAAAAAACAGAGGAAGTTCTTTTTTTTTTTTTTTTTTTTTTTGAAACATGTCTCAGGGGTGCTAATGATGCTGATGAGAGCAGACACCATTAGCAGCAGCGTGGGGCAAGGCTCCGTCTATTGGTGGGAAGGATCACCTGCTGGAAAACGGCTCCAGCGTCTCATGCACAAAAAAAACAGAGGAAATAACGAAATGTTTGGGTCTTCGCCCTGTTAGCATTGATCCCCCTGGAACCCCAGGTGGATTAACTGAGCAGGCTCAATCACTTATATGTTTCAAAGTTCGTACTCCACTGCCATGCTTTTCCATACGCTTGTCATTTCTCCTCCCTCTACCAACGCTTTAAGGCCCTCTTCCTCCTTATTTCACGTATCGGACACTTGTGTTTGTGTGTGTGGGTGAGTGGATGGGTGCATAAGTGGACACGGAAAGGACAGAAATAATCTGCTTGCCTCGGAACGTACCCTGGATATGGAGAGACAGGGGCATGATGTCCATCTGTCTCGGGGGGGAGAAAACGAGACAGGTGGCACAGAGAGAGAGAGAGAGAGAGAGAGAGAGAGAGAGAGAGAGAGAGAGAGAGAGAGAGAGAGAGAGAGAGAGAGAGAGAGAGATCTAGCAGAGTGCACCTGCATATGAAGAGACAGGGGAATGATGTCCACCAAGAGGTGCAGACCTGCAGATGAATTCTGACAGGGGTTGTTTTGGGATTTCAAAATGCTGCTGGGATTCTTCTGCTCTGTAATGTCTGTCCACGCGGAGGGATTGTTTAGTTCTCGGAGTACACGATGAAAGGGTAGGGGGGAGGAGCTGACAATTGCCGTGGAATGCTGAATGACTTATGGAACAGGATTTGAGTGAGCTGGAAGAGAAGGTAGAGAAGAGCATCAAGGATGCGCAGGAGACTTGTGAGAGTGGCACAGATGGAGAATGCAGAGCTGCATGGGATGAGGTTGAGGAGCTGTCGGCAGAGCTCTCGCACAAAGCTGCCAGAGTGAAGAAAGTCCTGGGTGATCCTCTGGAGGAGCACTGCAAGAACAACCCTGACGACTGGGAGTGCAAGACCTTCGACTAGTCGGAAAAGCGGGTCGTTTCAAAGATGGTATTGCTAATGTATAAGGACTTTGTGTCTC